ACATTCCAGGTAAATCGAACTCGTTGAATAAATCAAAACAAAGCTATAAAAATCAGATTTCATAAAGTCTTTTACTTCAAAATTTCCTGCATCTCAGCATACGTTGTAAGCAAAAAAATTGATAACAGGAAATAAATAAATGTAATGAATCCCTAAAGCCAAATACTTCTCGATATTGAAATGACTTCCAGCTCTTTCCTTGATTCGAAAATAACAATAATAAAAGCCCTCAGCATTTTATTTTCAACATGTATTCTAACAAGGTGCAGCAAGAGAAGCAACACATAAGCCTTGAATACATTTTTCCAGCCCATACAAATAGTTTCCAGCATAATTTTAACAAAGGGCAACAAGAGAAGCAACACATAAGCTCCAAATATATTTTCTAGCATGTATTCTAATGAGGGGCAACAAGAGAAACAAAACATAAGCCCCAAATGTATTTTTCAACACATATAAATAACTTCCAGCAAGTATTCTGATGAGGGGCAGCAAGAGGAACAAAACATAAGCCCCAAATGTATTTTTCAGCATGTATTCTAATGAGGTGCAGTGAGAGAAACAAAACATATGCCCTAAACACATCTTTTTCAATTCATAAAATAATTTTCAACATGTATTCTAGCAAGGGGCAGCAAGATAAACAAGATATAAGCACCAAATGTAATTTTCCAACTCACAAAAGTTATTTCCATGATGCATTTTAATGAGGAGCAGCAAGAAGAACTAAAAATAAGCCCCAAACACATCTTTTCCAATTCATAAAATAATTTTCAACATGCATGAAACTACCATATGAAATTTTCAAAGAAAAGTTGAGAGACTCTTAAGCACCGCATGAAACTATCACATGAAATTTTCAAAGCAAAGTAGAGATATTCTTAAGCACCATATGTAACTTCCATATGCAATTTTCAAAGCAAGATAGAGATATTCTTAAGCCTTATATGAAACTATCACACATTCTAGCATTTTCTAAATATGAAAAAGACAAAAAATTTTCATCAAAGCAAGAGGCAAACCAACAATGATTCAAGACGAACGAGTCGATTCGAACGCAAATCCGGCAGTACCTCCCCTTCTTAAAATTTTTTGGGCCAGCCCCATTTTAGGGCTTCTTTTATAGCCAAAACCAAGAGGAAAAAGAAGGAAAAAATCTTCCCAAAACTGAATCATGCCCTAGGCATAGAAAAATCTTACCTGTGAACCTAGTTTTTTAGGCTCAATTGAAGTCTGACCTTGTGCAATTCAGTGAATTTTGTGCATTTGGTGTATGTATGTGACGATAAAGTTGTGAGGAGGTTTTTTTAGGGCTTGAGGTCCTGTTGGGAACTTCTCCTTGAGTCTTTACACAATAGTCCTTAACCGCTCGTACATAAGACGATGATTTTGAGACCATAAATGCTAGATATCACAGAAAAATTGGAAGTGGCTGAAATTTCTAAAAAGGTGGGTCCCAATTCCAGTTTTCTAAGATGATCAATAGGAACTCCTAGAGCTGGACTCTAAGAAGAAGAAATAACCTCGAAAATGAGGTGATCAGATAACAATAATAGTTTGTAAGGAAAGAGGGCGCAAGGTGCTGGGGCGACGGAGGGAGAGTTCAACGGCTGAGGAGTGGGGAGGAGTTGTGAGTTCCAATGATCCTACCGTCTGTGTTGATACGTTATTCTTGCTGCTTCTGCCGTCGATGATTAGACTGCATACTTTTTCTTTGTTGTGCAACATGTGTAGAATATGTAGTGGCGAAAACATTGCGGATCTCTTGTGTCCTCGATTTGCAAGATCAATTGAATCACGAGTGCCTCTCCTTCATCTGGCGGAAGTTGATACACCTCGACCAATTCCTCGGCTTTCTCTTCATTACTAATCTCTTCCATGACAACCTGATTAGCTAGACTACTCTGCTCGTGGTGCAGTTGGAGGCTATGTGACCGTAGCCGCGACACTTGAAATATTTCCTAGCCGGTGTAGTATTGGAGGCTCTACCTTTTTCCTGCTTCTTCTCGCTCTGGTTCAGGCCGTCTTTTTGTTGTCCGGGCTTGCTAGTCTCTCCCAAGGTGCCCTTGTCGATTGTTTTAACTATAGCTGGTCGTTTGTCTCGAGGTTGTTATCTGAAGGATGATTGTTTTCTACTATGCTTCTGTCATCTTTCTACTTTCAAGGCCAGTGTCTGGACATTTTCTAGTGTCCAATATGGTTGCAGTTGTACTATATTGCTAATGACAGACCTTAGTCTCCTAAGATATCTGGCTATTGTATGCTTCTTTGGCTCCGTTAGTTCACATTTCAGTTGTAAATGGTTGAATTGAGTTTTGAATTCGTCAACTGAAAGATCTCTTTGGTGTAAGTTGTGAAGCTTCAAAAACATATCTTGGCAATAGTGGGGTGGGATGTGTTTTTTTTTTTTTTTGCATTACTCTTCATCTTCTCTCACCTAGTGATCTTTTCATTTTCTTCCCACTTCCTTTGCCTCTGTACATTTTCCCACCATAGGCAAGCGCTTTTCTTCAGCTTAATGGCGGCTAGCTTGACTCACCTTTCATTTGATACATCCTTATATTTGAAGATCTGTTCAACAATTTGCAGCCACACAAGAAATTCATTTGGATCCATGCTTCCTTAAAACTAAGGTAAATCCACCTTGATCCCATAGTCTTTGGGTCCTCCTATAGGTATCTCCTCTTTGGAATTCTCCCTTTGGGGGAGGGATTCAAATATCACTCTCTAGGCCTTCTCTGATATTGGATTCCGAAACGCCATGTCCTGCTTTCTTCATCGCTGAAAGTCTCCCCATGGAAGATATTCAAATCGTCATCAAATATCACTCTCTAGGCCTTCTCTGATATTGGATTCTGAAACGCCGTGTCCTGCTTTCTTCATCGTTGAAAGTCTCCCCATGGAAGGTATTCAGATCACATTTCTTTCTCCTTATGGACTCTCCTGATTTGGGTCGAAGGTATCCTCCTCCTGCATTAACTCTTCAATCTCAGCAATTCTCTTTTGGAGATGACAAAGCTCCCTCCTTAACTTTTCTCGGGTAGGCTTGGTCATGCATCTCCAGAGAGTGGGGTTAGGGTTTGGGTTGTGGAATGTATATTTGGTGGTAAGAAAGAGAATTTTGGTTTATGACAAGTGCTTGAAAACCTTAGGATAGGACTAGTATTGGAATAACTCTAATACGAAATGATAATGAAACAAGTAGGAAAAATAATGGAAACACAAGGAAAAATAGTGGAAACACAAAAAAAACAAGCTTCTATAAATATTAAAATAGGGTAACAACTCGACTCGATCATAAAATAGCAACGCACACACAAAATGATACAAGCAAACACTTCTAAATGTATTCCAATGAGTGATAGAGATCGGCGAGGTGGGTCGGGATGGTTAGCAAAGTTGGTGACAACAAAAGAGTGTTGGTGGCAGTGAGGTTCAGTTGCGGGACTGTTTGAACAAGTGGAATGGATTTTAAGTGGTTAGCAGCGGTAGTGCGGTGGTTGGGGGGTGGTTGAGGGGGATTTTGAATGGAGTTAGGTAGGCGGACAACATTAATACTTTGTAGGAAAGATGGTGGAAGGTCGTTGGGGTGACAAAGGGAGAGTTCGGCGGCTGAGGAGTGGGGAGGAGAGGGTTTGGAGAAGGTAGAAGGGAATGATACAATCACCACCTTGGAGAAGGATACATTCGGAGCAACACCTTCTCCTCAGATAAAGCCCAAAAAGGGGAATTGGACTCCACACAGAAGATCCGAAGAACACAGAAACAGAATTGACCCATCACACACCTAGGATAGCAATTTATATGCTCGAAAGAAACTTCTACACAAAAGAAAAGGAGGGAAAGATGAGGAATCCAAAAGACACTGTGAAGCTTCCATGGATTGTGTGGCATTGTCACGGATCGTGAAACTTCGCGATCTCTGCCTCTCATCTTCATGAAGGATCGTGGATCTCGCTTGCCCTACTTTTCCCCCGAAGGATTAGGGGCCTTTGATCCCATTGAGAATGAAGCGTCCCGTATCAGGGCGCTATTTTAGCGCCCGTATTAGGGCGTTGCAGCGCCTGCATCTGACTCCACTATAATATAGTCACGATTATAACTCGTATGTTGCTCATGACTTTTTTTTTTTTTTTGAATTGTGAATAATTGGACATACCTGATAAAGGCATAAAATCATCTATTTGTTAAAACCAATTTAAATCTTTTTCCTCAAACAAGTATCCACATGGGTCTACAAGGTTCCATTGAACAAAGCAACCCATGTTGTCCACAATGGTCTTTTTGTTTGATTAGATTGACTACCTCATTTGACTAAATAGATTTACCCCACTATGGTTTGCATATATGGAAAACCTCAAACCCTAAGTCTGAAATGCTGTTGCAAAATGAGGGTGAATTCTCTTTGCAGTGTAATATATTGTCTCTTTTGCATTCTGAAAAATTGACTCATAACCTCAACGTAAACTCTCTCACTCATTCTTGAGAGTGGTCAGGGCGTGAATTTTTAAGCCCACATCATCATATTCTTGGTTGCTTCTGAAGTGTATCCCATGAGTAATATAAACATAATCATATACCGAAACTTTCTTATATCTGTCTGATGGCTGCCTGGCAACTTAGGCATTTCACATGTCATACACCTGGAACCAGTGCTGTGATTCTCTTGGCAACTTAGGCAAACTCCAGCACGAATTCTTACCAAGATTGCATTTTGATATATTTTCATGATTACTGTCTGTATTATTATTGATGAGAAGTAGATTTTCTGCAAATTACCACGTCTACTTGTTTTGGTGGCTATATGATATAAGTTGTATCTAATTTACTCAGCAGCTACGGCGCCGTAGTTTGTTTTTGCATCCAATGAATTCTATTAGGAACATCTAAGTGTGCTTGCGTATATTTACTCACTTAAGTCAGTTAGTTAATATCTTTTAGTCTATGATTATATGAATCCTATGTTTTGTGAGCCCTTATTGGTTTCTTGTTTGGGATAGGATGATTCATACTTGGAGAGTTATATCAGTACCATTGGAGTTGATTTTGTAAGTATTTTCCATTTATTCAAATGCCCTTTCTTATTAGATAAGAATTTTTATTTGCTGATAATGATTTGGCATTTGTATTGTATTGTAGAAAATACGCACTGTTGAGCAAGACGGGAAGACCATTAAGCTTCAAATTGTGAGTTACATTGTTTTGGTTCTCTACTAGTATATTGTCAATAGAGATTTGTCGGTGTGCGATCATGATAAATCTTCTAATTCACCGATTTATAACCGAAATTTTCGACATTATTAGTATACCACTCTATTCTCTTATGCAAATGTGGCATTAATTCAGTTATTTTACTTTTGAATATATAACTAACTATTTAAAAGAAAAACACCCACCCTTATTTAAATATTGAATTAGTTGTATCAATCAGGTTGAGCTGGTCCTTAAGCTAGTATTGAAGGATAAGGTCAGTGGTTAGTTAACTCATTAATTGTTAAGCTCTAGTACAAAACTAATAAGCTCTAGATTAGAGTGTTCAGTTGTAGTATTAAAGTTTAGGATAGTATCCTTTTTAAATCTACATATTCTGGGCGGTACAAAAGAAAAATCTCCTTTTGCTATTGGTTGAAAGTTTTGGAAAATTTTCTTTTTCAAAGAAAATGGGAAACATATTGTTGAATGAATTCATAAAGCTGCTATTGGATGGATAGTAGAACTGTCTGAGTTTTAATGATTAGAATTGTTAGTTTTACTGTTTTATCCTTGTTTTGTCTTTTTCCACTATTTCCTTTTTGGGGACATTTACATACATACTACCCATTTTCTATGTATTTACATATCTGACATACAAACTTTATTTTGTACATTTGTACCTCTCAAATCTATCATATGACATAAATAGTACCACCATTTTAATATTTTCATGTATAGGTAAGATAGCAGGTACGTGGAAATTGAAGTTTAGGTGTTAGATATATAATACATAAGAGTTGAGTGGTATGTATGTAAATCTTCTTTTTTGTTTATGGATTCGAGCCAGAGCTTATTCGAGCTCAACCTGATTTACCAAAACATTTGGGTTCTACCTGAGTTCGATTCGAACATTTGGAGTAGTGTTCAAGTCTGGATCATTTAAAACTCATCCATGTTTGTGTTTATTTTGAGCTAGGCTTAAGTTTGATTTGTTTTTTGCTTGCTGTGTTTTAAACGAACAACTCAATTGGAAACATAAATGAGCCCTGTCAAGCTGAACTTAAACAATAAAACTTTAATTTAATGAGCTTTTAACAAAAGCTTTATAAGATCCCTTTCAGCCTATCCGCCCGAGCCATCCGCAAAATCCCGCAAATTCCCAACATAGGCTCCATGTGGGCTACAATCTCGAACAACTGAGTTTTGTGAATTAATTTCAACAGTACAAAATTTAATATTCAACACGGGATATAGAAGTTCTTAATGAGTGTTTTTGCGAGCTTTAAACAATATTTATTTTATCATAAATGAAACAGTAAGTTATTCAAACTTATTTATTTAAGAATTGAGTATGTATAAAAGCATTCAAGCTTGTCATTCAAACAATTATTAATGAGTTTTGAACAAGCTGAGCTATGAGCAACCCGGTCAAATATCTGGTTCATGTAAAACCCAAATTGTAGTATTATCTGCATGCTTAGAAATTTTACAAAAAACGGTACCTGTGATTGAAAATTTAATTTAATATTAATTCAGAAAATTTCGTCCCTTCGAACAAGCATGGCCAGCTAACCCGAAAAGACACTCCATATTTTAATTTAATTCCAATATTTTCTGTAATTACCATTTTTAAAATTATAGTAACATTTTAGTTGAAAAGAAATAACTTGGCTTGCTTTTCTGTTTAATGCTTGGGTTGTCTGCTTATCTGGAAGCAAATTTCATTTTTTGCCCGTTATTTTTCGAAGATTAAATCACTTCAATAACAGAGTACACTGCTTGCTTTATCAAAATTTTAGAATAGGGCATTTCTGCAAGGTTCTTGATTTATCATTTTGAACCATTTAGTGGGAAATTTACTTATATTTAACACCTAAAGTTTTATATTTACATTTATAACCTTCGTACTAAAAATCTATACACATGGGTGTATTGGACTTCTAAGAAGTTAGTTGTAGTGCCATTTTTTTGTGATGTAAAAGATTATATATATATATATTTATATATGTGCCCCAGCCGTGGCCTATTGGTAGAGCAGCCTCTTTGAAGGTAGTAAGTCCTCTCAGGTCACGGGTTCGAAACGCCCTCTCGCCAGTTTTCCAGTAGTGAGGGCGGTCCTCGAATAGTTAAGCACATGAGGGTGGCTGAAGGCTTGTATGATAGCCTCCGACCATTCTTTATAATATATATATATTGTGTGTGTGTGTGTGAATATAAAAGTTTAGGTGTCAGATAAGTACATACATCAGAATTGTGTGGTATATATGTATGTTGATGCCCCTTATTTAAATTTACAGTAACTGTTTTCAAAAGCTGAGACACTTCACTTTTTTATTACAGTGGGACACAGCTGGGCAAGAACGGTTCAGAACAATCACCAGCAGCTACTATCGTGGTGCCCATGGGATCATCGTAAGCAATTCTGGTTCTTAACTAGAAGTTCTTTGACAGATACATACCACTTAATTCTCACGTATTTACTTTTCCAACACCTAAACTTCAATCTTGACATATATGCCCTCTTACATATGCATGAAAAAGAGTATTTCACTTTTTAAAAGTTAATTGGAAAGATTTGGGTGGTATAAAGTTTTGCTGTTAGATATGTGAATACATAATAATTGCCTGGTATGTATCTAAATGACTCCAGTTCTTTTGGTAATTAATTAAAATCTGGAATGATTAGACGTGGCTCAAACTTTCTTAATCGATTTTTGCAGGTGGTTTATGATGTGACAGACCAGGAGAGCTTCAATAACGTGAAGCAATGGCTGAATGAAATTGATCGCTATGCCAGTGATAACGTAAACAAGCTTCTTGTTGGAAACAAATGTGATCTTACTGCGAAAAAAGTTGTATCGTACGAGACTGCAAAGGTGATTTTATCTGTATTGCCTAAAAAAGGTTTGCCTTGTAAATTATTTATTTTGTTTTAATTTGTTCTTATATGTTGTATTTAGAGTTTTGCTGATGAGATTGGAATACCATTCATGGAGACAAGTGCCAAGGATGCTACTAATGTTGAGCAGGCTTTCATGGCCATGACTGCAGATATTTGGAACAGGTTTTTTGTTTTGTTTTGTTTTTTTTTTTCTTTTGGAAGATTTACATATGTATTACGTAATTCTTATGTATTTACATATCTAACACCTAGGGGTGTAAGTGAGCCATGCTGACTCATGAGGGCTTGGCTCGATACTTGATTTGTGAGTTGAGCTCGATAAGCTAACAAAAGCCAAGATCAAGCCAGATCTGACTTAACTCATTAGCACATGAGTCTGCATGTTTAAAAAAATTAATTAATATGAAATATTCTCAAAATATACTAAATTTCACGAGTTAATCTTTAAATTATTTTAAAAATATTATTTTTTATTTTTTATATCTAATCATTTCTTTTTATTTATCTCTTAATTTCTCATTGTATTTATTATTTTATTGTTACATTAGAAAAAATTAATATTGATATCCCTTTAATAAACTTGTGAGCCGGCTCGAACTCTTTTGACTTAAGCTCGAGTTTGATTATTTAATTAAGCTCAAGCTGATGATGGCTCAAGCTCGACTGGACTTTGTCTCGTGTGCCAACTTAAGCTTGAGCTCAAACTCAATAAAATTAATCAAGCTCAAGACTAGGTTGGCTTGAGCTCGACTCGACTCATTTACACTGCTACCCTTGAGTAACATCTAAATTACAATCTTTACTTATATGCCACCTTACCTATGCATCAATAGATGTAATTCACTTTTTTGAAGTTAAAATATTACTGTTTTTTATGTGCTATGAATGACTTGGTGGTATAGATGTAAAACATAAAGTTTAGGTGTTAGATGCGTAAAAGAACATGAATTGGATGGCATGTATATATATATATATATATATATATATATACCCCTTTGTTTTTCACTAAAAATTTGGATACCATGCACGGTGTGGAGATATGGAGTAAATTCACGAAACTGTGAGGGTAGTCCTCTTACACACAAGGATTTGAGCTCTCTGAATTAAAAAAATGGGGGCATTTACGTACATATCATTCAATTGCTATATATTGAACACTTGAACTTTTCTCTTTTTTTTTTCTTACGTTTATACCACCCAACTACTGTGTGTTTAACACTTAAATTTTGCTTTTTATATTTATACCACCCAAATCTTTATTATCAAAGTATGACTGCCACTATTTTAACTTTAAAAAAAAATGAAATACACACATATATGTAAAAATTGAGGTTCAGGTGTTGGATATATAAAGGCATAGGGAAATAAGTGGTATGTATGTAAATTTTCCAAAAGAATGACATTTAATTACACAGGCTTTCATATTTATTGCTTTTGTGTGGTAGGATGGCGAGTCAGCCGGCAATGAACAACGCAAGACCTCCAACTGTTCAAATCCGTGGACAACCCGTCAATCAGAACTCCAGCTGCTGTTCTTCATAAGTTTACCGCACCTCCTTTGCTTATTGGTTTGTAAACTCCAGTCGTCAGTTTTATATTGAATTTTGATGGTTAACGCATCTACTTACTGATCTTAGTCTCATTAGACCCTGTTCTACCATATTATTCTTTCCGCTGACTATTGTTTCCTGTTATGCTCCCATATTAATCCGGTTATTTGTATTTTATACATATATATAGTACATGGTTAATTAACATTCGCAATATATTAGGTATTAAAATTATGGAGTAAAAAATTTTCTCCCATCAATGCTTTTAAAAGTGTGATTTGGATCTTCTATTTATTGCAAATGTTGGATTGAGATTTATAAACGATATAGTGAAGTTATTGTTGGATTTCAATTTGTCTGTAGTTGTCTTTTAAGTCTTTACTGTCAATAGTTTTTAGACATTTCTGATATATCTTCAATTAAACGATATAATGATCTCTATGCCCTGAATTAGAACATTTCTCCCGAATTCTTTAAATGAACTAATTCTTCTCTGTTGGAAGAATTAATTCGTTCTGATATATCTTCAATTAAAGGCATGGATTTCAATAAATTTGAATTAATAAGGTTTAAATAAGAGAGATTTTTAATCTTGTGCTTGATCTTTTTTAATCATCCCATGGTGGGGAATTCGTTTTTAGACATTCAAATAGCCATAGCAAGATTTTAATGAAAATTTGCTGCGTAGTTTAAATAGCAATGGAACTTCTGCAGCTAGTTTTTGTCAAGAATTTTGTCCAGAAATTTATTAACAAACTTGAAGATTCGATTAATAGGATTAATCGCCCCATCAAAAAATTTGTCCTAAAAATTTTATTTTGGTTTATAACAATTGAATTTTAGAAGCCCAAATTACTAATCTAATTTATTAGATTAAGGGCCTGTTTGGGGTAGCTTATAAGTGCAGGGGCGTTTTTGAAAACATCGCGCACCGTTTAAATCACGTGTTTTGCCAATTTATCCGAAAACACGATTTCCTTTTTACATAAAACGTAAGCCACGAGTCGTATTTTAGAATAAACAACTTACCCTTAAACCTCTCAATATATATCCGACCAATGCTTTTGACTTTTTCGTTTCTAGAATGCAATAGGATTTTCCTCACTAAATTTCTCTAAAAAAATTTTCTAATACCTTTTAAGGACCTTTTAAGGTTTTTTTTTTTGTTGAATATTCAGAGAATTAAGTTGGTTTTTGAGAGTTTTCTCAAAATCTTTTTTTAAAATATTAACCTGTGAAAATTTATTTCTAATATGATTCATTTCATTAAAAATAATTTATTGAGGATTATTAAAAAAAGTAAAATATAAGTTTTTTATAAAAAATTGTGTGATGAATGCCCATCTTATCTTTTTTTTTTTTTTTTCTTTTGGTATTGATTTGATTTTCAATTATAATAAAATTCTCAAAATAATATGTTGGATTAAACTTTTAACAAATAAAAAAATTAGGAATGCATATATCTAGTTTCTTAGAGGTAGTTGCATTTGATGATTTGTATTTTACCTGCATATAGTTATTTTTAGCAGAGATTAACCGTTATACCTCTTTTTGAAAATGCTTTGAATAAATCTCTCTTGAATCCAACTCATATTAACATAACCATCAATTAGTATTATCAAATTTGATAGAATAAATTATTAATAATTAATTTAATAGAGAGATATCATTATACATAAATGCTTTTTTAAATACTGAAAAAATCTTTGATATTTCAATACTATTTTTATAATAATCAAAATTGTTAGAACATTTAGGATCACTAGAAGAGCCACCATTTTCATTAATATGTAAAATTTAAACTTCTTATTTAAATTGTAAATTTTATGCTAAAATTGTTGAATAGTTTATCACCATAAATGGTAAAGGAAAGCGTGTTCGTCTGTTACCTAGAGATAATTAACATAATCATATGCAGATTTATGAGCATATCCATATTTGATTAATCCAAATAGCCTTTATGTGCTTCTATCTTTGAACGTCTAAATATGGCCCAATCTCTTGGGGAATCATGTAACTGAGTTATGATTTTCTTTTCGATCAATCAATTACACCACCTTGTTGGTTAATTGATCAATACCTTATATCTAAATATTAAAAGATTAGTGCAACATTGGGATCAACATTGTCAGCTAGTATCTCATATTAACGTTGGTAGAGGTATTAGGTTGAACGAAATATCTTTTCCTGAAATTTGGACTATTCCTAATGCCGCCACGACAAAACTAATTGCCAATCAAGAAATGGGACAATCAAACAAGCCAGCCCTTGGCCTAAAACACAACTCTTAAAATGTGCCAAGCAACAATGAAATTTATAGTAGCTTAGTTGGCGTAGTGCGCTCTGAAAATTCTGGATGAGGAGTTTGAGAACCACGGTGCAGTAGCTTTACTTAGAAAATTATGTTAAACACGAACTGCAGATTTGAACCGCGGCTCGCATTTCTTCTGAAACCTATAGCTCGTATGCCCCTCTCACTGTTGCCCTCTTTCTCACGTTTCTTTCGTCCTAGGTCACGCCTCTCTCGATCACTACAATCTCACGCCTCTCCGGTGGCGACGAGTTGCCTCTCTCCTCTTCCACTTCCCTCTGATCTTCGGCTCTTTGTCTGTTTATTGTGTTTTAAATCCTCCCACAGTATAACCCTTTTTTTTCGAAGTAATGACTTGCTCTTTGCGATTTATGACTTTTTCATTTGCAGTTTGATTTCAGAATTTAATTGAATAGTTTATCACCATAAATGGTAATGAAAATAGAACTTAGCCGATCGATTGACACTAGCCGACCAATTGACTCGAGGCGACCGACAAAAGTAGTATTGCCTCCGATGAGGACTTGTTTTGGCCTGACGATGTCTTAGCGTCATCTTCTATCTATACATATAGTATAACTAACAAAGTTTTATCGGATGGATGCAGAACGCCGATTAAATCTCCTCAAAACAAAAAATTGATGCTAGAAATCCTATTTTATAGCACTCTGCATGGCCAAATTGGCGATACATATTTATTCATGAAAATATGTATTTTCCTTTTAAAAAATTGTAATGATGATACTTTTTATTTGATATGGAAGATTGAAGTGTTGAATGTAAGCTTTTTTCTTGGGCCAAATAACGGACATTGTTTGAAAAGGTCTAAGCTGAATTTTGTATGTACAAACCTGACACGGGTATGTATGTACACATGCTTACTGCTTATTATTATTATTATTATTATTATTATTATTATTATTATTATTATTATTATTATTATTATTATTATTAATTCTGCAAAAAACCTGAATAATATTTCATTAAAATTTAACTTTCCAATATTTTGTCATAAATACATCTAACCGTAGAACATAAACATATTCAATGAGTAATTTTCGTAAAAAAGTTTGATCACGCAACATATGGATATAGCTTGAAAAACATATTCCTTTTATTTGCCTTTAACAAAATCATGACCGCTACCGTTAGTTGCTTCAAATGTATGGTGCTGAATTTGCACCTATTTAAGATAATTCATGCATGGCACCCTAAATTTTGCTATTTATAAAATTAGCACCCAGATTATTTTTTTTGAACTTCCAAACCAATGCATTTGGGTGCAAGACAATAAAAACAAATTGATACAAATGAAAACAAAAAAAAATCACTGGAAATTTCATTGTGAATTTTGATATTTGAGTAAAAATTTAAAATACAGAGGAAAGAGGGTGCTAGTTTTATAAATTCAAAAATTTCAAGTGCCATGTGTGCATAATTGCCCCCATGCATTTCTCATATTTAACTAAATAAAAAAGTTAATATATAAAATAAAAAGAAATTCACAAAAAATAAAAGACTGGATTGTTTACTTCAAATCTAAATTCATATAAATAAAGCTCACATCGACCTAGCTGAAGAAGAATATGCAGGGAGGTGCCATATGCATGTGGTGGAAAAAATATTAAGAGTAACGTGCGTAGCCAATGAAATCACGCCACGACATTCCGCGTGATAGAGAAAAAAAACGGCACAGTAACACGGGGAATATTCTCCCCCGTGTTATTCATGTGTTATTATGTGTTATTCATGTGTTATTGTATCCTGAGAATATTCCTGATGTTATAATAACACAATAACACATCAATAACACATGAATAACACACAATAACACATGAATAACAAGGGGGAGAATATTCCCCCGTGTTACTGCGTCGTTTTTTTCTCTGTCGAGAATATTCCCCGTGTTATTCAGATGTTATTATGTGTTATTCATGTGTTATTGTGTCTTAAGAATATTCTTGGTGTTATAATAACACAATATAACATATCAATAACACATGAATAACACGCAATAACACATGAATAACACAGGGGGGAATATTCCTCGTGTTACTGCGCTGTTTTTTTTTCGCTGTCGAGAGGGATGTCGTGGCGTGATTTCATTGGCTAGACATGTTACTTCTACGTGCATAGTCGCATGTGGTGCCAATGGAACCTTTTTTTGAAAAATAATTAAAAAAAGCAAATAATCCTTAAAAGCGACAAGTAACATAGGGAGAAGTATTTCAGTTATTTTTTCAAAATTTTTTCTCTTATTTGCCCCTCATTCTCACTTGTTTTTGTGCGAACCTAAAATTTGCGCAAAAAAATAAAAATGTACAGGACTACCTCAATTTATTTATTACTTATAAGAGAAAATATTTCGTCCTGAACACTATATGTCGGGACGGCACGTCCAGACGGCCACCCACCAACAGTCACGCCGCTATGAACATCATCATCCACCAGTAGTTAATTGTCGAGACCTAAAAATTCCTATAAAAAATTTTATTAAAATTTTTACATTCAAATCCCAGTCCATAAATTTCTATCATTTATTACAAACTTAATGATTGGATGGATCTGATAAAAAAGTAAAAAAACAAGAAAAGTTAGGTGAAGGTGACCAATCCCAATTTTAATCAAAATACATTTAGGAAAAGGAAAAATTTGCTGAGCTCCAAAATTGATCGACGGGGATCATTTTCAGTGGAAGGGGCACTCGCGATTTCAGCGAGCCAAATCGTATGCGCGAGTTTAGGCTCAAACTTTTTCATCGATTTTATTATTTCCCAATTTGCTATAGAGACGCTTAAATCATTCTCTATTCCTGATGTTCTTACGCTGAAATTTGTATTAAGAATATTTATCATTAATGTAAATTTATGATTAAATGAACATTTAAGGAAATTAATGGAAGTGAAAACGTCTTCCTACACCTAAAGAAGTTTGGGTATGTTAACAGCTACAACAATTTCAGTCTGGCTAGAAAGATGCGACGACGACGAAAGGAATTAATGGCACGCAAATACGGAATAATATTGAATCTGATCAAATGTGAAGATGTTTATTACCTTCTGTTTAGGCGCTTCATCTTCCCCAGTACCATTCCCCACTCTGCTATAGCTGTGAATTTAGCTCGAAGATCATTAGTGGCTCAAAAATTGATTCAAAGTTCGGATTGATCAAACTAAATGAGTAAATGAAATGAGTAGAGTTACAGCCAAAATTTATTATCAAATTTTTTAAGTCAATTACAAAGTCTGGCTTGAAATCGGATCGTTAACAATAATAGTGATATTAGGATCGTGAATTTAACGAATTTAATTCGAAAATATTTAATCGCTCGGGATCAAGTTCATAATGAAATAAACGAGCCAAAGCGATGAGCCAAAGCGATGAGGCAAAATTTTAGAATGAATTTTTTTTTAGCCGATTTTAACAAAACCTACCCTCTACGCCGGTTTGTCAATCAATAAAGGATTAAAAGACGACAATGATTAACCGGACGATTTCTAAACCTTAAAAAAATAAATAAATAATCGAAGTCTCTGCTTCAACATACCTCATCCGATCATCCAAATAAGTTCCCCAATTCCGATATTGGCTAAATCCATGGTACTTCCACAAGGTCCTTTGCAAAACCGGATCAGCAGATCATTTAGAAAATAAAAAAAAAAAAAAAAAAAAAAAAAAACAACAACCGAAATCAATATTCAACAAGGCAGCATCTACATGATTACTATGAAATACCAAAACAATCCGCGACCGCTACAACGATCGAACTACCTCTTGCCATATCGAGCATGGCCGCGCGGCCTTGTAACCTTCTTTGATCCAACGACTCCAACCTTCTCCGAGATAAGATTTCCGAGAGCCTTTTCGCATCCAAATCTATCGGAGAAAGATTCATCACCGTCGTCTTGATGGAAGGATCTTCACCCTCACCATTAAAAATTACGGCGATGTAACGAGATTTCATCGCCATTGATGAGAGCCGAGGGATCGGTGGGAGCTTATTGCCTTCTAATTCTCTGCTGCTAGAAATAGATGAGTGATTACGAGTCCGAGCTCCGAGGTTGGGGCACAGAGCCCTAAAGGGGTGGGCGGGAAAATGGAAAGCGTCGAGTCGGACTCACAATTGAGTCGAGAAAAAATTACATAATGCTGAAATTCATTGTTCACACATTGGTTTTCTTTTTTCTTTTCTTTTTTTTTTTGCCAAAAAATTATAATTATTTATTCGCGATATCAGAACTTATTTGAATTATTTAAATAAGTTGATTGCATCTGCATAATTTGTTTTTAATACGGCAACTAAATTTAAAAAAAATATAAGTTAATTGTATGTCATGTTATAGTTTTTTTTTTTTTTCTTTTTTTTTTATTTAATTTGATTGGCCTGAGAGCAGATCCCCAATCAACCTCTTGTGACTAATTCAAGGCAAGACTCAAACTCATGACCCTCAGTAACTTATAAACGCTATCAACTAATAAGCCACAGTGGCCTCATAAAACAAAAAAGTTTTATGTGATGTTATAGTTGATACGTGTGAGAAGCAACTAATGGTACATGTAACTGGGCGAAGCTGACTCATGAGGCTACTTGGCCTCGACTCGACAAGTAGTTCGTGAACCGAGCTTGATGAACTCTACTAAGACCCGACTCAACTCTTTAGGTCGTGAGCCGGCTAGTATAAAAGCAATTAATATAAAATATACTCAAAATATATTAACTTTAAATTATTTAAAATATTATTAAAAATATAATTTATATTTTATATTAAGTAATTTTTTATTATTTATCTCATAAATATTCATGTTATTGATCATTTTATTATATACTAGTTTGAATTGATATTATTTTCTTTTTAAATATAAAGAAGTAGGCTCAGGTGCCGGCTCAAATTCATTAAAATAAACTCAAGCTCGAGCTCAAACTCGATTAATTAATCAAGCTTAATCTCTACTCGAGAGTGGCTCAAGCTCGACTCAATTCGTTTACACCCCTAGAAGTAACATATAAATTAAGATCCTGTTATAAAATACTCTTGATTGGTTCTGTATATCTTGTTAGTCATCCCTGAAGAAAAACTTGCTTATTTTCACAATTCACAGTCATACATTAAATTATTGTTTCAAGTCTTTACAAATATATCCTTATGTCGTTTTCAATCTCCGAACGATATCCCATGATAATTTATATGGCAGCTTAGAGATTCTTGAATTTTATTAATTGCTCATGAAATGAAGTTCTTACAAGCTTATAAAGTCTCAATTGAAGTTCAGTAAATTTTCTATACACTAATCACCAACCTAATCTTTAAAAGAAAAAGAATAAAATATCAACACCAAAGTACTTTCAGCTCATATTCACGAGAAAACATAAGGTGTGTCGTTCACGCATGCGGATGACGGTAGGTGGATTCAACCATGCTGCCGTGCACACAGTGGGATGGTTGAATTCACATCGTCGCCCGCATCTATATATGTCCGCACCTAATATTTACTCCATATTCACATTAATCTACATGTCTTTTGTTCTTTCATTTAGATATATGCTCATAACTTCCATTCAATACCAAATTGAGGTTTTACCCAAATTGGTATTTTGCATGTTCTAGTTGGTTTTGCTTACATCCAATGTATTTCTATCATGAAATGAAAGGGACCAATTTACACCATACACAGCCGTGGCTTGCGTGGATCTCATGCGCCTCCTATATATTGATCTTCTTAAATTTATAAGAAGTAGAGTAAACTTAGTTATAATTTTAGTAAATTTCATAACTAAATTCATAAATATATTTAGTTCAGAGGCTCTAATGAATTACCGGTGGCTTGTTATTATAGATATAGATTATTTTTTTTTCGAAGACGTAAATGCAATTCGTGTTGGACCGGTCAACTTAACTAAAATTCTTGACCAACAACCAAATATTAAAATTTTGTTTTATTTAAGAATTCAAAATAACATTTTTGAGCACCGTATAATGTTTAGTTATTGTTTCAAATATACGCCCGAATTGAATTAGTATTGTTGATGTCATTTATATGAATTTATTTTGCCCTTAATATCATACTATTAAGAAAAGCGAGTGACACATAAATACAAATTTAAGGTTTTGTTGCTGCAGAAGCGTGAGACATCAAATATATTTGGCGACTAGTTGTTATCATAGCGGGTCATCCAACATTTAGTGGGGTCTCGAGAAAGATTCTAAACAAGTTTATCAAACATAGCCAATTGGATGATTGATTCTCCGATTAAAATCTGTGAAGTCCCAATATAATAAACCAACATATATAATATTTTTTTCCTCATGCAAACCTTAAGAAAACATTTTTTTCTTAATTTCGAAGCAGATCAAAGCATATAAACTCGCTGATCGAGAGCTTTTTAAAGCAAAATCTCTGTTTTGCAAACATAAAGTGATAATAAAACCCATTAGAATTTGTCAAAATTCTCGTATCTGTAATTGATTAAAATCATATTTTAGAAGATTATCATAAAATTCATTAAAGTTAGAGCCAAGTTCCATAAATCAATCATCAACAAGTTGTTAGCTAAAAAAGTTTTGATTGCTAATGATACATTTACCACCCTAAAATAGTACAGCATATGGTTGGGATGGACCACTTCAAACTAAATGCACCAACCCATCACCATCACCTCAATGGATATTTTCTACCCCCAAAAGCAATTCTAAATAATAATAATAATAATAATCATCATCTTTAGCATAATGAAGCTTACCAAGTAAGCAAACTTATAACAGATGGAGACCCCTCCCAACTTTTTCAAAGCCAACAGAGTTTTAAAACAACCTACAAACGTCTCGTATATACTGCAAATAAATTTTAATAAACAAGTTTATAACATCTTTTTTTCTGCAAATGAAACATTTCTTCATTTACAAAATTTAGAGATTAATTCCTCTGAAGATCTCTAACATTAATTAGCAGGTTGTGGAAGCACCTAATCAGACAACTCCAATAATGCCTGACGAAAACTTAGCTAGGTTATGATGAGATTGAGGTGGCGCGATTGTGAGCTCCAGATCACTATTCTCAATGGCCGAAGACTTGGCCAATTTTTTTGGTGGGCTAATAGGTAAATTTAATTTGAAAAAAGAAGGATCTGCTTGATCCGAAACGTTAAACTTCATGTTTTGGGCTGCTAATTCCTGTCAAAAAGTTTGAAATTATTTACTTTCATGCAAGTTTAATGCAGAAATTTGTAATTTTTGGAGGCCGGGAAGACAAAGTGGAAGCTTACAGTCGAACTGGTTTTGCGTGGAATTGGAGTGCTACTACAGCTAGCCGCTGGTAATTGGATTGTGGTGATGCATGAATACCCAGCCTGCAGTCATTTTATTTACTCTAACAAGTTCAGATTAGCATATAGTTCTATTAATTCACACGATGAATTTATCCAAAATTAGTAATAAGGAAAATTTACATGCATACCACTCAATTCTTATGTATTTACATATATCTCTATTTTTTACATATATGCCGCGTTACCCATGCATAAAAAGGTGTATTTGGCCTTTAAAAGATTTAACTAGTGATACTTTTTATGTAATATGAATGATAAAAATCAAAGTTTAGACGTTAGATATGTAAATACGTAGGAATTGGGTGGTGTGCATGCATGTAAATGTCCCTTAGTAATATTATGGTTTTGCTAGAAGCACTTACGGAATGACTGTCAGGGTTTAGACGTTCAAAAACCTTGAAATTCTCATCAGACTTCTTCAATGGTGAGGTTGGGGAAGTGCCAGAGTTTGTGAACTTTAATGAAATGGTTGTCAAGCATAATAAAAAGAAGGGAAATAAATTAAACCTGCTGCTAAGCTGAGATTAAGTGGATGTTTAGAACTTACTTTTTTATGGATGACAACATCAAAAAGGCTGGATCTTCTCTTCTTCTTACTGGTGTTGGTTTGTCGAAGGAAATACTTCTGAGCATGGCTGGCGACTTGGGTTGGAGTTCTGGTCATCACAAAGTTTCTGGAGATTCCCCTCCAGTCACCCCTTCCAAGCTTTTCTAATCCTGCTAAAAATGTTCGGTGCTCCTCTTCGGACCATGGAACTCCTAAAAAGAGTAGAACTCAATAAGTTGTAGAGATGACAGAAATCTAATGGAGGAATAATCGCCAATAATTACATACATGCATAGTTGCATACCGCCCTATTTCTATATGTATTTGCATATATAACACCTCAAAAGTACTTTTTACATTTATATCACCCAAATCTTTCATATCAAATAAAAAACATGAGTATTTTGACTTTTAAAAAGGGAAATTCATTTCTTCATGCATAGGTAAGGTGGTATACATTGGAATGTATGTAAAAAGTATAGGTGTATGCAAGGTGGTACGTATGCATGTAAGGTGGTATACATTGAAATGCATTTGTTCATGTAGGTAAGGTGGTATGTATGTAAAAATTTAAGTTTAGCTGTTACATATGTTAATACATGGGAATTTGAGTGGTATGTATGTAATTGGATAAAAGTTAACTGTGAAGAAACTGATGCATAATCTTTCTGCTCAATTTTCAATAAGGGAAATACAGCAGTAGTTTTTTGTATTATTCTTTTTGTTCAAGGGACAATAAAAGGCATCGTCAATGTTGTTTTCTGAACGAAATCTTCCGAAATTTCTGCAATGACAGTACTGTAGCTTGCAACATCAAAATATAATACGGGACTTGTATTATCCCATAGTTAGATGATTCGACATTGTTCATAATTGGAATAAGGCTAGTCCATCTTGGCCCTAAAAAATCCGACTGAGTGAAGGGCAATAGCCTAGATTGAGCACACTCATAGCCTGAAAAGATCCATTTTTTCATCAAAGTTTATGGTAAAAAAAGGTGGTGGTACAAATACTTCTGTGCAATGATGATTTCTGTGATTCGCGAGAGAGGGTGACCAGGCAATGACGATTGTTAAAGAATAGGCAATGAAAAATGTATATGCTAGTCTAAAAAGGGGAAGTGACAAATGGGTGATGATAATCATTGGCATCAATTGATAGACAATAGATGCAATCATGAAAAATTAGAATTAGAATGGCATTCAGAGTGATTGTCCTGGTAGCCAATGGGAAGTTTGAGCAATTAGAAAAGGTTGATAGGTTTAAATATAGAAAACCTCGAAGATGATAGATTGAATTCCAAGTGGCGACCAAGGGTCTCTTTGGGGCAGCTGTTAATTATTTATAATCTGATAACCAGATGTTGTGAGATATGTACTTCCTGGCATAGAAATGAGACGAAAAAGAGCACAAGCAAACACAGATCGTTTACGTGGTTCGATCCAACTGGATCTACGTCCACGGGAGGGAATCAATCAAATATTTCACTAAGGCAAAAGAAATGGAGAATACATAGTTTATACATAGAGATGAACCCTCATCTTCCTTCTATGGCCTCCCTCTCAAGCGACACCTTGATACAAGGCCTCAAGATGCTCTCCTCCTCTAACTCTATAGATATTCTCTCCTCCTTTGTGGTAGCTTAAGATCTCTTCTCCCTTTCCTCTCCTAAGCCTCACACCCTTAAGATCTCTTCCCTTGCTCTCCTAAGCCTCA